AGATTGCGGCAAATGCACCAGCTGTGGCCTGAATTTTCTTCACATTCTGGAGCTGATCTTGAACGGCATAGCAGTCGCCACCCCAGTCTGGATCACCCCAGGAAACCACTGATCCATCGGCCAAGATCGCGGCAAATGCCCTCGGTGTGGCTTGAATATGCTCGACATTCCTGAGCTGATCTTGAACCGCAGAGCAGTCACCACCATTGTCAGGATTGCCCCAGACAACCACTGATCCATCTTCCAAGATTGCAGCAAATGAGTTACCTGTAGCCTGAATGTGCTGGACATGCCTGAGCTTATCTTTAAGTGCAGAGCGGTCGCCACCACAGTCTGGATCGCCCCAGGAAACCACTGATCCATCTGCCAAGATTGCGGCAAATGCACCAGCTGTGGCCTGAATTTTCTTCACATTCTGGAGCTGATCTTGAACGGCATAGCAGTCGCCACCCCAGTCTGGATCACCCCAGGAAACCACTGATCCATCGGCCAAGATTGCAGAAAATGCATGCTTTGTGGCCTGAATCTGCTGCACATCCTTGAGCTGATCTCTCACTGCGCAGCAAGTACCACCAGAGTCTGGATGGCCCCAGGCAACCACTGACCCATCAGGCAAGATCGCCGCAAATGCGTTGGCTGTAGCCTGAATTTGCTGAACGTTCCTCAGCTGATCTTGGAGTGCAGAACAGTCACCACCATTGTCTGGATCGCCCCAGGTAACTACTGATCCATCTGCCAAGATCGCAGCAAATGCGCTACTGCTTCTTGTGGCCTGAATTTGCAAGACATTTCTGAGCTGATCTTCAACCAATGAGGAGTCACCACCAACACCTGCCATGCCCCAGGTAACCACTGACCCATCGACCAAGATCGCGGAAAAGGCGACACCTGTGGCCTGAACTTGCTGCACCTTGCAGAGCTTGCCTTGAACTGCAGAACAGTCACCACCAATCCTTGGATGGCCCCAGGTAACCAGCCGGTTGCGTCCGCAGCACCACATTGCAAAAGCGGAATCTGTTGCTGCTACTTTCGCTTCTTGCACCACAGCAGTCAGGTGCTCTCCGTCTTGCACCCCTGCAGTTTGCAAGGAGTCCGCAAGGTTGGTCAGGACATGTCCATCCGCAGTAACCAGTTTCAGGAAGCCCTTCTTGAAGGTTTTTTGGGCCAGAAGTTTCAAGTCCCCTACTTTGGAGTGTTCAGGGAGCAACAGAGTTTCCCCAGAACCACTCGGGAACGATATATGTACTCGAAGCATTCGAAGGACTAGAAAGAACTCTGAAAATGTGTGGGCTGCCTCTAGAGACACAAGGTGCCATGGTCTTGAGCCACAGGTGCCATAGTCTTTGTCGAAACTGAGTCCCGCAGCACCCCAGATTCACTACCACAAGAAAAAAGCTTTTCAGTCGATACCCTCGACCAAAGGTCTGTGCACTCCAACAAATCTCAAACTTGCTGTCCACGAGATCTTTGCCGGAAAACCGTACGCCCATTTCACAAGTGCCATGCTTTTCTCCTTGGCCTGTCACCATTAAACAATTGGGAACCCCCCTATCATCTTCTCAAGATTCTTATCAAGGGACAAAAAAATATGCGCTGATCATGTTCTTAATATCTCCTAATCATGTTCTATTCAATCAATGAAAAACATGTTTCTTGGCTCAAATTTCTGACCATCCCCCCAACTAACAGTCGAGCTACCGTGAACCCCGCTCATCCCAATTTTGTCTCAAACTGTCTGCTGGATTTTGTTGGATGGTAAATCCTCTACAATAAAATGCTTGGTCTCATTCCCGTTCTCTCCTCATAAGAGACTTTAGCAGATGCCTTCCACTGAACTGGCACCAGGTCTGTTAGCAATCAACTGCCTGCACTCAGTATTTTTGTTCAAATGTTTTCAAACCAACTCATCATGCATGTTTGTCTGAAAATGGGCTATACCCATTTTGACTGGCAGCTATTTCTGGGATGATCAAAAAATCCATTGGAATGTCGCGGGTATTTTCAGATCCCAAAACCTGATCTTTTCCGGAAAAATATGGCTACCCCAAACCTGGTTTTCCGTCACCAAGAACCGAGGTGCCTCCGGTGTGAAGGCATTGATCCCATGCCATACATTCGCCATGGTCGGGAAAAAAAACGACGTGTTGGTTCTGAAGATTCAACAGGATGATTGGATAACCCATTCAATTTATCTGGTTGGTGGTATACCTACCCTTCTAAAAAATATGAAAGTCAGTCAGTTGGGATGATTATTCCATTCCCAATATGATGGGAAAGTCATAATCCAGTCATGTTCCAAAGCACCAATCAGCCATTACTAACCATAATTAACCTTTACTAACCATCATTAACCTATGGTTTTCCTATGGTTTTCAAAGCACCAACCAGTTATCATAGAAAAGTTTCAAACAGAATAACAAAGCCATTGGATTTGGGATGATGAATTGCTACACCGCTAGCGAGCCATCCATTTTGGTCATCGAAACTTTCATCACATCACTGAGCATACGACCAGAAAAGAATTGTAGGGGCAAATGAGAAAAAAATGAGTAGAACCTAGAAAAGATGGGCCCCCGTTCATCACAATTTGGGAAAATAGGAGATACTTGTTCAACATGAACATGATCTAAAAAAAACAATGCTACATTTGACCCTTATTTTTTTGCTTCTTCAACAAAATCAACATCTTCAACACTTGGATATCTTTGATACCCCAACTGTGAACCCAGTCACAACGGTGCCCGTGGAATGGAAAGGTCCGGAAGTGGCATGCCATGTTCGCTTGATGACGTCCGGGGAAAATGGAGCCGGTTGGTATACTGTTGGTATACATAAGTATACTATTTCCCATGATGTTCCGATATGTTCCGATGGCTTTTTCGAGGGAAGCCCTGGGTTCATCATTGTGAAAATCAACCAACCAGTAGGAAAAGTACCATTTACAGTACCATTTACCAATTGATGAATATTGATGATTTTTTCATCGCTGTTCCCTCCAACAGCCATTCGGAAATTCGGAAAAGGTCATCTATGATTTACAGTACCATTTACCGCTGTTGGAGGCTTTTGAGGATAGCCGCTAGCCCCTTCAGTGGTCAACCAACCATAGGAAAAAGCGGCCATCTATCTTGGTAAATTATAATATTTCACTAACCTGAATAGTTCGGCCATTTGGGGATGATTCCCCTTATTAACTATGATTATAGTGAGGGAGAACAGTGAGGTCGTTATAATTTACCCAGATCTATGTATATATATATATATATTTATTTTTATTTATATATATATATACATCTGGCTAACAAATACTGCGGGCTCAAAATTCTCCAGTTGGCCTATCACATCTATAGAGAAAGACGGCGGTTGCTGGTTCCTGGTCAAACCAAGAGATGGTTGGCCAAAACTCACAAAAAACATGGGCTCAGTAGCCGAAAGAAAGAAAAATCACTGGACGTTGCATTGCATATTTATATAATTACATGCAACTATTACGTACAGTACATAGTTATAATATCTTGTAATTATTAATTACATTCATATTGTATTAATTACATTCATCTTGACATAATTTTAAATATATGTACATGTTATGTGAACCTATGGACTGTACTAGCTTTCCTTTTATGAATGGCTACATCAACATGTAAAAACTCAAACGACACCTTCGGTGACCTCGGGGATCGATGAATGTTGGACCTGGTGGTTTTAACAATCTTGAAAAATGATGGAGTTCGTCAATGGGGTTGGGATGACATCCCATATATGAAATGGAAAATAAAATTGATGTTTGAAACCACCAACCAGGCTTTGTTTTTATCTAGCCAACTTAGTTTCGACCACCCATGCTGTGCATGTGGATGACAAGTTTTGGTGGCATCAACCCAACCCATCCCCCCCCACAAAAAAAGGTCCGCTGTCTCAGGCGAGAGAATCTTCTCAGTCGCTTCAGATGTCTCCCATTTTTGGCCTATCGGACCTCTCGGCTATCGCGGTAAGTTTGGCTGTACAACGGTCTTCTCTGGAATCTCAGGGTCTGCTGCAACTGAGCCAGACTGTAGTCACCCCAACAAGCTTGCGGAAAAATTCAGTCAAGGCATTGATGAGATTCAGGCGGGGAAAGTTGACAATACCGAATGCGTTGGGAAACAGGGAAACAGGTCAGATTCTTGGTGATACCTCCTTTCAATGGGAATTCCAGGATCCTAAATTGGAGGTACTGTACCATATAAGGCTATATTTTGTGGGGATATTCCCTTACATAGGCCTTACCAATTCCTTTGTAGCTTCGAGGTACCAGATCACCCAACAGGACATGGTTCCAATGGATCTGACCGTCCATTGGATAATTGCCCCTTGGAAAGGCCTTTTTGGAATGGGGATGGAAACTGACAACTGTCGCGATTTCATGTTGCTGTCAGTGGCAACCCTTCAAAGGGCCATTGCTAAATACAATAATAATATATATATATATATATATATATGTGTGTCATATATAGATATATAGCTGGCATCATTGGTTCTTCGCACATGTTTTTTGCACAAAACAAATGCCAAGTTTTGCACCATGCTGGACCCCAAGAAGTTCAGTCTGGAAAAATTATGTTTTTGAGATGGTGACCAGCCTGGCTGTGTGGGCTGATCAGTTGTGATGATTGACACGTCTTTAGTTCACCAAAAAAAAAGTGTCGGCCTCCCATGAATTTTCGGAAAGTAGCGCAATGGTCCAGTGTGAAATCCCCAAACAAAATGGCTCACAAATGATGAGAAACTCTGGTCAATCCATCTATCTGGCTCTGTTAAACACTGAAACCTGCTGAGTCACTGCTGATTTGACCAAAAAAAACACTCAAACTCACGACCCAGATCAGCTGAATCATAGATTACATAGACATATCACCAAAAAATCCCATAGAACCACCACTTTTGCTGAAAAATTTCTGGCAACCCACGCAGCCGAGGGGTCAGAAAATGACGTGTCGTCTTCGGCGTGAGTTCCGCCGTTACGCAGGAACCTTGCCCTTGACACGCTCCTCCAGCCACCTTGGGTCGGGATGGACCGATGGACCCAATGACAATGGGGCCAGTACTGACTCACTGACCGCGAAAAAAATGGGGAGATTCTTGTGATCAACTAAATGGGGCCAATGAAAATGGGGATTTGGCTGCTTGTGAACAAAACCGTTGTTGAATAGAACAAACAGTCATGACCTCATTCGTTAGACATGTTTCACTGCTAAGAAACCAGGCAAAAGAAGATCACTCATACCTGTTTTATTAAACACCTAAAGAATTCTGGTTCTTTCCCTACAGCTCCAAACACCGAGACTGAGACTGTATTCGGAGTTGTTGACATGTCAGAGCCACAAGAATTCTCCAGGACACCCCAATTTTGGGCCTCCAGGGAACATCATGGAAAATCATGGCTACCATGGCTATGACACCACTCCCACAACCTGGGATGGTGGAATCGAAACCCTCCGTTTGTTTTGAGCTATGGTAGCTATGGACCAGTTATCGATGAGTTACCGGTTAGAAAAGGAGCAATGTTAATCCCATCACCCTAATATTAAACACCCCATAAATGGTCCCAATATGTCCCAATGATGTGGAAATTCCCTACTAAACCATGGGCTTCTAAGGGGGTGTTTCATATTAGGGGGAAGGGATTATATAAATTATCGGATGGTAACTATAGATTGATCTCCACCCTAAATCCAACGCTTGCTGGTTATGCTTACCATGATATCCACCTGTATCCCATTGTATCCTCAGTCTTCGTTATAAACCAACTTGCCTGGCCAAAAAGAGAAACCATTTTGGTTGATGATTCTGATAAGTAGTGACTATTGCTAACTGTCATTAGTGTCTATTAGTAAGTAATATTAGTGACTATTAGTAACTGTCATTAGTGTCTATTAGCAAGTATTAGTGCATAGTTTTAGTTTTTATACGGTCCTTACGATACCAGGGCCGATTCGAACTGGGTGTTTCCGGCGAGACAAGGGCCTCGTTGACCGCACTTGGCGCGTCGTCCTCACCAGGTGAGGACGAAGAGGGCCACATGCAGGGATTTTACCCACAAAAATAGGGATTGAAGCGTTTTTTTCTGGATGTTCAATGGGTTCTGGTTGAAGATTTCTGGTATTTTCTGGTTGAAGTCAGCAATTGAACCATCGGGATTTATTCAAAACTAGGGTAACTAGCCCTTCTTTGACCACCTGAAACTTGGACACTCGCTGGGCTCCGAAGCTTCAAAACCCGGTGGATCCGACCACTTGATCGTCCCCAGGTCCCATTCAAATCACCATGGTGTTTGGGTGAAAAATTCCACGAAATCCACAGCAAATCATGCAAATCCACCATTTTTAATGGAAAAAATCACCATTTGAGTGGATTTGTTGATGAATGGTGGATGAAAATCCATTTCGAAATGAAAATCCCCATTGTTCATAGGGATTTGTGATGGATTTCATGAAACATCACCATTTCTCGATGAAATCCATAGGCCGCGAGGGGATCATCAGTGATTTCACTGCCGTAACATGCCGCAACTGGGGTGGGCCGGGCTAACCCATGGGTGAACCCACAAAGGGAACTTAAGTTCACCAAATGATGTAGTAACCATGGAAAATGCTGGGGAAATGTCGTAGATTGTAGTAGATTCGCCATGGTTGTCATGTAAATGATGGGACAATGAGCTCAAAGAACTATGCGATGGCTGATGGGGTAGCCTTTTTTCCACCCAAACCGAGGTAAAATTGTCTGGAAACTGCTGGTTTGGAACTGAGATTTATCCGCAGTCAAAAACTGGTTATACTAGATGGGTTGAACCCCATAGCTCAAATTGCTAATTCAGTTGCCCCCTATTTCTGCGAGTGAAATCCAATGAAATCACCATTCAAATCACATCAAATCACTATTAAAAACAGTGTTTAAATCATCATTGAAATCACTATTAAAATCGTCGTTTGAGTCAGCATTCAATCCCACTAACTCCCTCTCTTTGTTGGTGAAATGAAATCCCATGAAATCACCATTAAGTCATCATTAAATCCCATGAAAAATCCCAGTAGATCATCATTTTTCTTGCTTAAATCCCTTCAAAATCACCATGAAACACTTCAAAATCCCCACGGTCACCGCACCACCGCACCACCCAAACCGTGCTGCAGCTTGCAGTATCCTGCGGGCAATGTCCAGCATCCTCAACCTGAAGCAACGACGGTCATGAAGCAATGGTTGTCAGATTTGTATATTACATGTATCTATATATATATACAATGTGGGCCCCCCAAGTTATAAGTTGGTTTATAAATCCCATTAACTATAGATATATCTACCATAAGTCCTAGTTATTAGAGTTATGTTCACCAACTTAGCTATATTGGGGGCACCATCTTGTATATATGGGATTATGTTCATGGGGAATGTATATTTCACTGGATTGGTTGAAGGGGAAATCTTAACCGGAAACCATGGGTTTTCCCCATGAAACAAAAAGGGCTTTCCGGTTAAGATTTTCCCTTAAACCAAAGTGGGGCCCCGTTTACGATAGCTAAGTCAGTGAACATAAATCCAATTTCACTATGGTTTATGGTACGCTTTTTTAGCTATACTTGCTGATGTTTATAAAGCAACTAACATCACTGGGGGGGCCCACATGATTTAATGGTGACTTGATTGGATTTTTTGCGGTAGTTTCATGGAATTCATAGGGATTCTTCGCTACATATATATATATATACATATATATATATACATATATATATACATATATATATATACATATATATATATATATACATGGTGTGTCTGAAAATGGGATATAGCCCATGACTATGTTCATCGGAAAAAATGAAAAAATCCAATGGATTTGGGGAAAGACATGATTTTCAGACAAACCCATATGTATATATATATATACATATGTAACTATAATATAATAAGTATATTGTATTTAATAAACAATAGTAATTTGATGGTATTAATAGATAATAGTTATCTAGTAATAGTTATAGTATATGTAGTTATAGTTATGGAATGTACTATAATAGAAATATATCCAACACTATTGTATACATATATCATATATATACATACAGTATATGTAGTTAGTAAAGTACATAATATATAGTATCCAATAATAGTCATAGTACAATATACATATGTATATATATATAACCATGTATAACCATATATATACATATATATGTGCACAGCAAATATAGTTAAAAATATCATAATTCTGTGTATTTAACAGAATATGACAGAATATGATATAATATTATAAAACATTATATCTTCAAATATATTCCCATGTCGGAGGACTTTTTTGAACTGTCTATCTTCTATCTACTCCAGGATGACTATATATGCATGTATATCCTGGCCCCCAAGAAGATAGAAGAGTCATTTATCACTATATATTTCGGTAGGACTTCACTTTTCTATATTTGGGGGTTACTATGTGTGTATATATATATATATGTGTGCGTTCGTGTGGTTATATGAATGTATATACGGTATGTATCATTATGTATTTATGTATGTGTGTGTGTCAATATACATTATATTTATGCAGGTGGACATACGTTACATGCATTGCACGGATTACATACATGACATACACCAAATGCAAAACGCACATGTTAGATGAGGTACAAAGAAACATTGCATTTCATTACATTAGATTACATTATCTTGCTGGTGCTTAGTAGGGGGGAATGATCCACAATAACTGGCAACAATCATCCCATTCCCTCATGCCCTACGTTTCGCACCAGTAGTTTATATGTTTTTTACACAACACTACATTACATTACCGTGTGTCACAAAACATGTCACTGCACCAGGCACTCATTACATTAGATACATCTCTAATGCAGCAGTATGTCCAGAAATTCATCCGTTTGAAATAAAAGAGCGGATGATGCGGCAAAACACATGGTCACATGGTCAGAACTGATGATAGAAGAAAAAGAAATATCTCCAGTACTGCCTCACTTGCAGCGCAAAACGCAGCTCTTTCCAGAGGTCTATCGCTGTTCCCTACTCCAGATACTAAATATACAATACATTGACCTACATTGCAAATGTCTACAGATACTGGAATTTCTCCTCAACTGCCGAAGACTCACCACCATTGTCTGGGTGGCCCCAGGAAACAACGGATCCATCGGCCAAGATCGCAGCAAATTCCCACGCTGTAGCCTGAATCTGCTGCACATTCCTTAGTTGATCTTGAACTGCGGAGCAGTCACCACCAAAGCCTCGACCACCCCAAGCAACCACCGATCCATCAGCCAAGATCGCGGCAAATGCGTGATCTGTGGCCTGAATTCGCTGCACATTTCTGAGCCGATCTTGAACTGCGGAGCAGTTACGACAACAGAGTGGATGGCCCCAGACAACTACTGACCCATCAGCCAAGATCGCAGCAAATGCATGATTGCTGGCCTGAACCTGTCGCACATTCCTGAGCTGGTCTTGAACTACGGAGCTGTGACCACCATCTTCCGGATCGCCCCAAGTAACCACCGATCCATCAGCCAAGATCGCGGCAAATGCGCTGTCTGTGGACTGAATTTGCTGCACATTCCTGAGCTGGTCTTGAACTTCCGAGCAGTCACCACCCAAGTCTGGCTCGCCCCAGGTAACAACGGATCCATCAGCCAAGATCGCGGCAAATGCGAAGCCGGTAGCCTGAATTTGCTGCACATTCCTGAGCTGGTCTTGAACTTCCGAGCAGTCACCACCCAAGTCTGGTTCGCCCCAGGTAACAACGGATCCATCAGCCAAGAAAGCGGCAAATGAAATCTAATCAAAGATTGCATTGGCGCACAGGCGACACCCCGAAGAGTGGCACACTGACACCAAGGTATGAGGCCCTAGAGCCCTGTTCCTCTGTAACGTTGATCCAACACACGGGACCTCACAAGAGCCAAGTGGTCCAGCACGGATCTGTCAACTGCGGATTGACCAACAGGCCAACCTAGAATTTTCTGAAAAGCATTGTCAGGAGTCAGAGGTCGCCCCTGAGCAAAAGCTGGGCATTCCCAAGCATGGTGAACCCATCCAGGGATGGCATCAGGATCACGACACCACTGACAATGTGCAATTTCACGGCGCTTCATACGGTCGTATCTGGCATCTGATACAACAGCACCGACCATGACCGCACGACCGTGCGTGTCTGCCTCCTGAAACAATTTTCTGGCACGTGTAATCCAAGCTTCATCATAGGCAGGGTTGCCAACAGCTTGGGAATCTCGGCGGGAACTGGCAAGGAATTGATCGAACAAGAGCCGTCTCCAAGTTTCACGAATGTGATGTTTTTCTTTTTCTCCTTCCGCAGGACTGAGTGGATGCGACCATTGGATGTCTACCTGAATATCAGAATGTCTCCAATGAAAGGCTCCAACTTCATCCCAGCCAAGGGATTGCAGCCAGGAAGTGACTGTATGCAACCAAGTGCCTCTGATGGTTCTTTGTGGCCACGGACGAGCGCGGCGGCGAACTTCAGTGGTAAGGAATGAATACGCTTGCATTGCTGCGCAGAACTCAGGGTGGAGACCATGGCGAGCCAACAAATAAAAAAGGTCTTGTGAAGCTTGGTTGTGCCCAGTTCCAGCAAGCTTTTTGACGGTGCCATTAAGAGCACGGACAGGGACTAGGCTCGTCCATGCCCCCCATGCCGCCTTTGGGATCACAATCGAGACCGCATGTATGGCTTTCATGCGCATGTTTATGGGCATCATTGCAACGCGGTTGAGGCGTGCGAGGGCCCCTTTGATTCGCTCGGCTTGAGTGGCTCTGTTGCTGTCTCCAAGCCTAGCAGTAAAATCAATGCCCAAGACGCGAGCTGCCGTGGTCACGTGGCGGTCAGAAAACCCTTCGTTGATGAGCTGCTGTCGATAAACAGCTCGTCTGGGGACAACTTTGGTCTTGTTATCATTTTCCCAAAGACCCACCTGCTGAGACTTGGATTTCCAGATTTGCCAGAGATGGTATGCTTGCTTCGGATTGCTGGCAATCATGTTGCGATCATCCAAAAAGGTCACCAGAGTACAGGCAGTATTATCTTGGGCAAGGACTAGATTGGTAAGCCCGGTCATAAGCGCCAGCATGGTCAGCGGGCTGGTGGCGTCACCTTGCGGCAATGATGAGGTGACAGTGACCGGAGCTTGCAAATATTCACCATTGTATGTGAGCCAGCGTTCTTGCTGCCAAACTTCTTGAAGCATTCTGAGCATCTGCTGAGGGCATCCAAAATGCCTCAGGCATTGAAGCCCCAAGGCGGGATTGATGGTATCGAAGCATTTCTGAAAGTCCAGGCTGAGCAAGATACCCCCTTTTTCGAATTTTTGGAAAAGGAGATCGACTGCCTTGGCGACACCGCTACCTTGCACGCCTCCACAAGCTGTAGGATGCACCCAAGAGCTGATCCAATTTCGAGTAGATCTACGTCTTGTCCAGGTGGACGCAATGATCCGCCAAATTGTGCATTGTATGCTAATTGGACGAAGGTCCTTGGCATGGATGGCCCCGTCGGCGGGCCTCAATTTTGCGTCCGGTTTTTGCAAATGCACTTGTCTGGTGGATTGCCAAACTGAAGGGACCTCTTGACGGTCCGTCCAGCGAGCTAAGAGAATAGCGAGATGTTCCCAAGCTTTCAATGGAAGCTGACTAATTTCACTGCCACTGAGGCCGTCAGGACCTGCAGCTGAACCCTGCTGCCGCAATGCATTAGCGTGAAGTTCTTTGCCCGACAGAGGTGTCCAAGGAAACTCAGGCCTAGAGGGGGTATGTTGCTGCCAGGCTTCAAAAGATTCGGAAACAGGTGGCATTTGGCGATTCCAAATGGTATTCCAAAAACTGTGGATGGCCTCCAAAGATTCATGGTTGGAGGCAGTGGCAGTATTGTCCTTATGGTTTGGGTCGTGCACTGAAGTGACAGGCAGATTGTTTTGTTTGCTGATCCATCGGCGCGCTTTGGCCATGTCCGTGCGCATGTTCTGTCGCCAGGTTTGGATTTTCGTCAAGCGATCCTGGCGCACGACTTCCTGCACTTCATGTTCTGCCCATTGTTCAATTTCATGGAGGGATTGGAAATCTTGATTACGCACCAAGGGGTGGTTCCAAATCCGATGCAACAAGACTGCAGGGATAGTGCCGTGGTGGGCCAATCGCAAGTTGGCTTCACGTACACGGCCCCAAAGTTTACGGGCTTTGAGCTCCCTGCATGAGGCATGCTGTTTGAGTCTGAATGTGGTAGCCTCAACGGGTCTGACTTGCAATGCACTACCCTTAGGACGACCCGCTTTGCTGTGGGTCTTGGCAGAAGTAAGCTCACATTGCTGCACGGCTTCATTGAAAGTCTCTTCAATATTGCCGCAAAATTCAATCCATTCCTGTTGTGTGGATGATTCTGCTGGGCATTCTGCATTTTGCCAAGCGGCTTCGAGGGCAGCCGCCCATTTGTCCGGTGGGACAGTTTCTGGCTTTGTCAAGTTGCGAGTAGGGACATGCTTGAAACATTGAACTTTGGCTTGACAATAGTTCAAAGTAAAACAAAGCGCTTTGTGGTCCGCCATGACAGTATGTGAAAACTCAACGGTTTGGATCATGTGAGGATGGGAGGCCCACATCCAGTCAATAGCACGGCGGCCTTCCCATCGTGTGGGAGCGGGAGTCCCGTCTTCTTGTCTGACCATTTGGCAAGCTCCGCGGTCAGCTAAGGCTGTCCAACGGTCAGCAAAGTCAGGTTCTTGGTTGAAATCTCCGCAAACGAAAATGGGCTCGTTATGGCTACAAGATGCAACCCACTCATCCAAGATAGCAAGGCTGTCATCAGCCGGGGTGCCACGAGGTGGTAGGTAAGCCCCTGCCAAGTACGCATGGTCAAGTTGCAAGAGAAGGGCCTGACCATCGTTGGCAACATGCCGTTGAACCAGCCGGGCACCTTTATCTTTTCTTACAAAACAAGCCACGCCGCCAATTGTGTACTGATGACCCCGAAGGTGTTGGATCGGTGGCACGGCCGCAAACCAGCTGCGATAGCCATGTTGGGTCATGAAGTTGGCGAGATCGGCACACTTGTCGGGCAACATGCAATGCTCTTGGATTATTGCGAATGCAGGCTGGTCTTGGGCAATCCAGCGGGCACAAGACCATGTGTTGTCTTGGCCGCCAGCATTGATCGTGAGCCCAGTCATCATGGGGCCCGGATCACCTGGGCCCGGGTTTGGCTCGACGTCACCATCTTGGCAGAGATCACGAATCCATTGGCATGGTTGCAATGGATGGTCTTTGCGATCACGAGGTGGTTTTTCGATGATGCTTAGCTCTGTTCTGGTGATTTGCCACGAATGGATATAAAAGGCTAACTTTTCTGCATTATTTTCACGCCGGCATACCATCCACATTCGTTTCCTACCATGGTTGGCCAAAATGGCAGCCCGACCTTTCTGGCCAGGACACTTATGTTTTCGGAGGTTAGCAAAACGCTGAAAGATCTGAGTGCAAATGCCACAACTGAAAAAGGACACTTGAGCTCTGGTGAATGCGGGCGGAATGCGAAAAGATCGAGTTGCAGTGCGCTCATTATAGGCTTTGAGCGCATCCTCTGTTTTCTGCTTAGTTTTTGCAGCATTGTCTCTGTTAACTTCCAAATTGGCTTGGATCCATGCCGGATTGCGATATCGAAGCTTTCGAAACTTTGCTTTGGTGTAACCATAACATTGCATGATATGCTTATCACGACTTTTCTTCAACAAGTGCTGCTTCATTGACGGCAAGCCCTTGTGACATTTTGGGCATGACCATACCCTTTGATCGCAGGGAAGATATTCGGAAGCCTCAGCAATGGGATCCAAACATGTGTTGCGACGAGGAAAGCATGGGGCAACTAACTTCTTTTTCTTGGGATGAGCCTTTTGCACATGACGTCTGCGCCCACAGCTCAAACTACGCTTATTGGTATATCGGAGTACCTGCTTGCAAAGGTTACAAGTCCACACAAACTGCTCAGAGAGACCGGCCTTGACTGCACCTGATCCAGCTTCAGGGTCTGCACGAGTCGGAGCTGGTCTGGAGGAGGCCGGATCATGGCGCCGATCAGACTTGGCAGTGGCCGATGGCGTGGCAACACAACGCCAGGCATGTCGGCTGGGCTCTTTGGCTGTCAGAGTCTTGCTTTTTCCTTTCACCGTTTTTGGAGTGGATGTCGGTCGCCACTGACTGGTGTGGCTCTGGGCGGACTTAGCACGGCTCACCTGTGGAGTAGCCGCTGTTCTCCAAGAATGACGGGTGTCAACTGAGCATGCTTTCCCGCCACCGCGAAATGCGGGGTTGTCCACAGACGCAAGAGGCGCCTGGATCCATTCTTTGGGCCACTGTCGCCCTTCTTTCAATTGCGCTAATGTATAATGGCCTTGCTGGTCGTTCAAAATCAAAACAATGGGCTCACGGCTTGATCGAGTTTCTCCAAACGACATAGGTTCATCCTTAGCTTCACCTTCCAAGGGCACAACGATGATTTGAACTCCAAATCTCTTGCTGGCAGCTTTGAGGCTGATGCCGTCGATCCAACGTCCCTCACGAAGAGTGCATTCCATGTATTCACTCCAAGTGGTGGGGGATGGCCCGGCGTCGATACTTTCATTTGATGCAGCAGGCGTGAAGAAGGGTGTGTATTCACTTGCATGCTTTTCCAAATGTTTATAAATATCGTTTCTCACAGTTCTGCCTCTTGCGTGCAGCATCTCTTCGAAGTGCTCAAAAGTTTCGCCTTTATCCAGGGCAAGGCCTGCCGCGAGGCAGTTGTAACCGCAGTTACCTGCTCCCCCACAATCAACAGAAGTGACTCTATCTGCGATTCTGGCGAAAACACCATTTTCTTTAGATTTGGCTCTGGGAGCCGCCTTTGAATTGTCTTTTGCACTGTCATGTGACTCTTTGTTGGGAGACCGGCTGCGAGGTCTCTCCGGCTTGGAGGCTACCGTTTTCTTGTTAACTTCATCTGGGCTGACTTGAATGCTCTTGGCTGGGTATTTGGAGCGGATCACTGTCATGACTTCAGTTGACCGTCGTTGTTTGTTAATCACACGGTTCAGGTACATGACTTGAGATCCCGCATGGATGGCCATGACCCCAAGAGAATTCTCATCGGGCACAACGGCCTTGACCAGCCAGGCCTTCTGCTTGCCCGGTGGTCTGATGATGGCTGCTTCGCTGCATCCAGCATCGAATAAGCATTGCAACACATCCTGGCCAAACCAATGCCTGGGAGCACCGTGGAGTGTCCATGCGTGGAGCTGCGGGATGGATTTATTGGCTTGGAGGCGAAGGCCGAGGCATGTGCTGCCACCTTTACGGAAACAAAGGTTGGTATTTCCCTTTTTGGCTTCCTCTGTGGCTCTGGTGAAGTAGCTTGTCATGTCTTCACCTTCTTTGATTGGGATCCACCACACATTGGGTCGTGGGCTTCGTTCATTGGTCAGTCTGTCAGCAAAGATACCATCTTTGCCGCTGAGCTGCAGCACCTGGTCAACAGATTTCTCCGGGCAACGCAGGAAGCCCTGCAAGAGGATCTCAGGTTCTGATTGCTTTCTGTTGGCAAACTTGACTTCTTTCCACCCATACGTTGAGTGAACGATTTTTTCCCCAAAGGTCTTGTTGACCAAACTTCTGGGGTTGCACTTCAAAGTCTCCCACAAATCACGAGTCACCATGACTTTAGGAACAGTGAGGCGGAAAGTTGCCAAAGCGGCTCTCTCAGCTGAAACTTGCGTGGCTCTAGCTTTCTGCGTAGGCATGGTTGGCAGGGTCTTCAGCAAGGGGAAAACACAAAATTGGCGAATGGAAACACGGCCTTTCTCATAGGTGGGCAAATACACCGGTTTGGATTCACCCGCTTTGGTCTTGTCTGGCGCTAAAATCAAAGCAAAACCCTTTTCTGCAAGTTTGTGTAGCGTGGCAAGACGCTGTAAATCCTGAACTTGAAGCAAGGTCTGGCACACGCAAGCCAATCCATCTGGTGACTGCCCGGCTTCAAGTTTTTCTTTGACTTTGACAAAGGGCACCAAAGCGCCCTTGGCCCATGCGCTTTCCAGCAGAGTCCACTGACTTTCTTTTTGGCCTTTGGGGCCGTGTTTAGAGAGGCCCTTGGATTGGGCTGGGGCGCTATTTTTATGTTTTTGGCTGAAACCTTGCCCCTTTCCTTTGTCCAGGGTTTGGTTGGGTTTGTTCTTGACCACATCAGCCCATGTGGTGTCATTAGAGCGTTGCTGTGAAACAGGCTTGTCGCCTTTGGCAGCTGCACCCTTTCCTTTGGGTTCGGAATTCGGGTCATACTTAGCCTTCTTTTTTTGCGGCTCCTGGGTAGCGCTGCGTTTGTTTTGGCGTTTCTTTTGCTCTTGCCAGTTTTGGCTCTTGTTTTGCTTGCTGTGTTGCTGCGAAGCGGTGTGAACAAGACCAGTGAGCCTACGCAAAAGAGAACCTGGCTCTCGCTGTGCCCGGGCAATGATCCGCTCAAGAGATTGGAGAAGCTTTTGCTCGGATGTGTCAGGCTTGTTTCCTGGTGAGGGTTGGCCCTCCTGTGCAGCATCGGCTGGTGCTTGCTGTCTTGATGGCTTTGTCTTGGAGGCTGGGTGATGCGGTCGCTTGTCAGATGCTTCTGGCTTATAATCGCGCAAAAGATTGGCAAGGGCATGTAACAACGCAGCTTCTCCATTTTCTTCTTTCTTGTGTGCTGTGATTCTGGCAGCCCCTCTACCCCCACCCCGGAACATGGTATTCAAACCTTGGGATGGTGCTGGACGGACAGGCAAACGGTCCGACTGGGCATGTACGGCAGAACCCCATTTCCAGGCATTGCTGAACAGATTGAACGCGGCATGTGGCGTAAACCAAAACCAAAATGTAGCAGCAAAGCGAACACAGGACACAACCCTGAGTATGCAAAAGTAAACATGCAAGGCAAAATTATGAATTTCCTCCCACACTTTGCGAAGCATGCGCAAGGACAAAGTTTGGTTTTCATTTTGATTTTTCTGGAACCGTCTGCGCCACCAAAATTTCCAATGGCGTCTGGGGCCTTTGACCCTACTTTTCCCAGCTCTACGGGCGGCTGGGGGGGTGTGCCTACAACATGTCCTGTGTCTCCCAAAACACATGGCAAAGAAGCGACACCAGCTTGCAAACCTGGACTGGGCAGGTTGGACCGGAGGGTATCTTGTTTTGCTACCGGTTGGCATGAGGCACTGTGGATCGAAGTGCGCGTCTGCCATGTTAACTTGTGCTTGGGACGTGCAAGGCTCAGGCGAGGACAGGACACGACACAGCACCAAGGCGCAATTGAGGAAGAAAGTATAACCCCAATTATGAATCATAGGCATTGCAATCATGCAAATGGCACAAAGCATCTGGTAGGCAAACTGGGCCCACGCGTGAAAGACAGAAGGAAAATAGAATCTTCCAAAGTCAATTTGCAAATTGGTTTCAAACGTCTGCACCGTTTCACTGAGTTTGACTGACACACAATGGGAAAGCCCACAAGCCCACAATGAGAAAGCGGCAAATGCCGATGTTGTAGCCTGAATTTGCTGAACATTTCTCAGCTGGTCTTGAACTGCAAAACAGTCACCGCCATGGTTTCGATCGCCCCAGCAAACCACGGACCCATCCACCAAGATGGCGGCAAATGCGGTATCTGCTGCCTGAACTTGCCTCACATTCCTGAGCTGATCTTGAACTGCGGAGCAGTCACCACCATGGTCTGGATCGCCCCAGGTAATGACAGATCCATCAACCAAAATTGCGGCAAATGCATCAGCTGTGGCTGAAACTTGCTGCACATTTCTCAGCTGATCTTGTACCGCAGAGCAGTCACCACCATCTTCTGGATGGCACCAGGCAACCACAGATCCATCAGTCAAGATCGCGGCAAGTGCGTGATGAGTGGCCTGAATTTGCAGCACATTCTGGAGCTGATCTTGAACTACGGAACAGTCACCACCAAATAGATGGTTGCCCCAGCTAACCACCTGGTTGCCTCCACTGCACCACACAGCAAATGCTTTTCTAGATGCAGCTACTTGGACTTGTTGTGCCACAGCAGTTAGGCGCTCTCCGTCTTTCACCCCCGCAGCTTGCAAAGATTCCTTAAGGTTGGTCAGGACATGTCCCTCAACAGTGATGAGCTTCAGGAAGCCCTTTCCGAAAGTTTGTTGCGCAAGAAGTTTCAAGTCCCCCACTTTGGAGTGGTCAGGGAGTGTCAGAGTTTCCCCAGAACCACTCGGGAACGCTACGTCAACTCGAAGCATTCCAGCAATGTGGCTGGTCCCGGTTTGAATATGTGTTCAAACCCAGTCAACCATAGAGATTTGTTGATTCTATAGAATTATATATCTAGTTACTATTTTGTTTGTTTGTGGATGTTCACCCTATCAACTAAAGACTATAGATATTCATAGATATTAATAGAAAGATAGAAAGAAAGAAAGAAAGAAAGAAAGATAGATAGATAGATAGATGTATACACAAAAAATGCAACAATTGGCCTACTTACCAACCAACTTGTCTAACTTCCACTGGGGCACCACCAAGCGAAGCAACAATGGGCAGCTCCAAACTCCTCTGAGCCAAGCCGCTGAAAAGTCAGGTCCTTCACGATACACCGCAGTTTTCACCAGAACAAAACTAAAGTATTGTGAGTTGTGGTGAAAAATGATAATGTGAAATATCTACGGTATATACATATTATATGTATGTATGTATGTATGTATGTATGTATGTATGTATGTATGTATGTATGTATGTATATATATATATATTGGTGAGAAATTCATAGGTTTCTTGTTTTTGCACGGTTAAATCCCATTAAATCACCAATTTTGTCAGGTAAATCCCATTCAATCACCATTTTTGCGGGTTAAATCGCATTAAATCAGTATTTTTGCGGGTTAAATGCCATTAAATCACAATTTTTGCCAGGTAAATCCCATTAAATCACCAATTTTGTCAGGTAAATCCCACTAAATCACCAATTTTGTCAGGTAAATCCCAAATCCCATTCAATCACCAATTTTGTCAAGTAAATCCAATTAAATCACAAATTTTGTCAGGTAAATCCACTAAATCACCAATTTTGTCAGGTAAATCCCATTAAATCACAATTTTTGCCAGGTAAATCCCATTCAATCACACCAATTTTGCGGGTTAAATCCCACTAAATCACCAATTTTGTCAAGTAAATCCCATTAAATCACCAATTTTGTCAGGTAAATCCCATTCAATCACCATTTTTGCCAGGTAAATCCCATTCAATTACCGTTTTTGCGGGTTAAATCCCACTAAATCACAAATTTTGTCAGGTAAATCCCATTAAATCACCAATTTTGTCAGGTAAATCCCATTAAATCACGAATTTTGTCAGGTAAATCCCATTAAATCACCAATTTTGTCAGGTAAATCCCATTCAATCACCAATTTTGCCAGGTAAATCCCATTCAATCACCATTTTTGCGGGTTAAATCCCATTCAATCACCAATTTTGTCAGGTAAATCCCATTACAGTAAATCACCATTTTTGCCAGGTAAATCCCATTAAATCACCAATTTTGCCAGGTAAATCCCACTAAATCACCAATTTTGTCAGGTAAATCGGATTAAATCACCATTTTTGCCAGGTAAATCCCATTCAATCACCATTTTTGCCAGGTAAATCCCATTCAATCACCAATTTTGTCAGGTAAATCCCATTCAATCACCAATTTTGTCAGGTAAATCCCATTCAATCACCAGGTAAATCCCATTAAATCACCATTTTTGCCAGGTAAATCCCATTCAATCACCATTTTTGCCAGGTAAATCCCATTCAATCACCATTTTTGCCAGGTAAATCCCATTCAATCATCATTTTTGCCAGGTAAACCCCATTCAATCACCATTTTTGCCAGGTAAATCCCATTCAATCACCATTTTTGCCAGGTAAATCACATTCAATCACCATTTTTGCCAGGTAAATCCCATTCAATCATCATTTTTGCCAGGTAAATCCCATTCAATCACCATTTTTGCCAGGTAAACCCCATTCAATCACCATTTTTGCCAGGTAAACCCCATTCAATCACCATTTTTGCCAGGTAAATCCCATTCAATCATCATTTTTGCCAGGTAAACCCCATTCAATCACCATTTTTGCCAGGTAAATCCCATTCAATCACCATTTTTGCCAGGTAAATCCCATTCAATCACCACTTTTGCCAGGTAAATCCCATTCAATCACCATTTTTGCCAGGTAAATCCCATTCAATCACCATTTTTGCCAGGTAAATCCCATTCAATCACCATTTTTGCCAAGTAAATCCCATTCAATCACCATTTTTGCCAGGTAAATCCCATTCAATCACCATTTTTGCCAGGTAAATCCCATTCAATCACCACTTTTGCCGGTTAAATCACCATGAAGTTGGCAGCCTCCACCAGTTGGCAGCCGATGCCCCGTTGCGCGCACTCCGTCAAGATCGCCGAGGCGCGGGCCGGGCGCATCCTGGCAGGACATCTAAAAAGTGTGTGTATGTTATCTAGAATAGATGTAACACTATAGATGTGTTTATAGATCTATAGTTTTTAGATTAACACATCTATAGTGTGTGTTTATTGTTTATAAAGTGTGTTATATGTAGAAATAGTGGATAGTTGATTATAGTGGATTATAGTGGATTAACAATGGTTAATAATGATGAAAACCATGGTTATGTTATGAAAACCATGGTAGAATAATATATCTCCTTTACATCATCCTTTAGTGATCTTTAGTCGTAGTTTAGTGATAAAAACCCTTCAAAAATCATCACACATCATCTGGTTGGTGGTATACCTACCCCTCTGAAAAATATGAAAGCCAGTTGGGATGATTATTCCCAATATATGGAAAAATAAAAATGTTCCAAACCACCAACCAGAATAAAAATAAGAAGAAGAAGAAGAATAGTGTGTATATATAAATATAAAAATATGTGTGTGTATATATAATATGTGTATAAGAATAATTATTATTATTTGTATATATATATATACATTATACTATGTTATGTAAAAGTATGTTTTGGTTATATTGTGGTAAATTACATGACATGATGACTTACATATACTTCCCGACGGATCTTTCACCGTCCCATGATTTCTCAAAAACGTCGTTCTCGTGCTAGCCAAACGCACATTCTGGGTCCAAAAAAGTTTCTGAAAAAAAGTTCATCGCAAGATGCTTTCGTCAACCTTTCCAGCATTTTGTGGTCAAAAACGTGCCGAGTTCGGTTTTCCTTTTTTCAGCTCACAGCTTTGCCAGGTAGAGGCCCGTTTTGGCCAGCAGGTATCATATCTATATATTGATATATGTGTATCGTATCTATATATGTGTCCATATGTATACATGAACATTCATATTACATATAGTGATTGCAATATCGGTGTATGTATACATATGTAGATGCGAATACTCTACAGGTAAGAATCGATATATGCCTCTACGTATCTGTAGTGCAAGCGAATGTTAACATGGCCCACCCCACCCCACCCAACCCCAACCCCATGCGTGACGTAGCATCAACCTCATGACGCAAGTGCAAGCGAACGTTAACATCCCCCACCCCACCCAACCCCAACCCCATGCGTGACGTAGCATCAACTTCATGACGCAAGTGCAAGAGAACGTTACATGCCCCACCCCACCCAACCCCAACCCCATGCGTGACGTAGCATCAACTTCATGACGCAAGTGCAAACGAACGTTGACATGCCCCACCCCACCCCACCCAGCCCCACCCCACCCAGCCCCCACCCCAAGAGGTTTAAGATGACATGTAACAAAAATGTCGAATTTGTGGGCCGGTAAAAGATCCGACTGCATATACTTATATGAACTTATATGCTTATGAGTAAGCAATTGTGATGTGAATGTGCCAAGAAAAAGACACAAAAATCCGCCGAGTATGTCGGGACCTTTCCAGGGAAGGGCATCGTAAAAACTCGGATCGACCCCTTGAGCAGAGAGTCCCGGCACTGTGGCACTCGTAATGGAAAGATCTGCAGTGACAACGTTTCGACTGTCACTGCAGCTGGCTGAGTGCAGTTCTTGGCCAGTTCTCCAAGTTGTGGTGGTGGAAAACCACGGTTTCTATGGTGAGTTCAACTTGCGAAAGCCAAGCAACAACTCCAACATGTGCATAGTTTCAAATCGTCCTAAAATTTGTGTCAATGGGGGTCATCATCTATGCTGGCAGTCGTGGATGTTCATCCCATATTCATAAAACGGCACTCTTTGGGCAGGTAAACAAAATGATTTTCACCAAGACAGAAGAAAAATATCTGTTTATCTGAAAATTTGGTGTCTCAAACATCCCGCGGTTTATCATATCATGTTTCCTTGCTAGCCAAGCGCCATCAACAAAACCCCGCTGTCAAAGTCAGAGCTCTACAGCCATAAAATCACCTCGGAAGGTCCTTCTTTCAAGGTGAAATGGGACGATGCCCAGCACAACTGGCAGATGATTTCAAGTCCAACGGGGATTCGATGATCGCCCGCCCGAAAACCCCAAACACATCACGGGCCGGCCATGGATCTTGCATGCCCCAAATCAGCAGTACCTGCCGCGATTTCTTCCGTGCTCTGGAAAACATCTCTTTTTCGGTATCTTCTATGTATGTGTATATGTAATATATGTAATGTATGTAGTCTATAATTAGTTCTAATACATAGTAGATATATCTGGATAAATAGTAATAATTCACTAATCTCAAAAGTTTGTTTTTTGGGGGAGCATGTTTCCCCTTATCGATTCCCATAATCGGTCAACCTCGTCACAAGGTCAATGAGGTCACCATTGTCCCAGTATACCATCTGGTTATGACTAACATAGCTATGAAAAATCCACTGTAAATGGAGGTTTCTAGATGGGAAAATCATCTGTTTCGATTAGGGCCATTTTCCATAGCTATGTTAAATAACCAGAGGGTATCCCATTTTATACATACACATATTTGCCACGGTGCCCTTGGGAAGGTAGACCTACCTTTGAAACTTAGCCCGCGCCCCGCGAGTCCGCCGATCAATCTGACACATCCTGTATACATACATAGTAATTTCAATTTTAAACAACATATCTATCATTGTAATGATAGATATCATTATATGTGTTATGATGTGTGTATAGATATACAGTATATGATTGCAATACACTAATGTATATATGTTATTGTATGTATGTGATTATATATATGTGTTATCGATTGTTATTGTATATATGTATCACATACATATATATATATATATGTATATCACATATCAAGTATATTTTCCCATCAAACGGGCTAAAAATGTTCAGAAAAAACTGTGTCACCTGTGGGGTCCAGATGATCCAACCTAATTTGCTCGGCCCATTTTATTTCTTCGCGGATCTGCATGTGACCCAGTTCCAGTTCCCAAAAAAAAGGCGGGAGATCATTTAGCCGTAACTTCGTCCATGTTCACATGTTCAACCAAAGCTAGGAGTCAAATCTTTGGTTCCTATTCATTCAAGTATTCCCAAAAGATATTTCAGATATTTCCAAACATAATCACGCATAGTTGGTTATATATCCCCATGATATCCCATTCAATCACCATTGTTGTTGTTGAATCACCATTTTGGTTGCTTTGATCCCACTAAATCACCATGTTTGTTGGCTAAACCTGGTTGGAAGAACCCTGGCTTCTGTGGATTTGGAGAGACCCAAGGTTTTTGGCAGGGCACTGGCAGCGAACTGGGTAGAGCATCCAGTGCTTCAAAAACACTCACCTCACTGGGACGTACTGTGCGTCATAACGAAATGGAAAAACACATGACACAAAAAACAGTAAATCATCTATAAATGTGGTTAATATACTGTTAATGGTTAATGATGATGGTTATTATATGGTTATTGATGGTCAATAATTATCTGGTTGGTGGTTGACCTACCCCTCTGAAAAACAATGGAGTTGGTCAGTTGGGATGATGACATTCCCAATATGATGGGAAAAATAAAAGCCATGTTCCAAACCACCGAACAGACCAAAATGGGGGTGAGTGGGATTTAATAGAATTTAATGGGATTCACTGTGATGCATGTAGCTAAGTTGACCTTTTTTACTTGGTTCTCTGTTGGGTTGATTAGGGAATGTAACTATAGAATTCACGTTTTTTTCCAAGATTCTAAACAAACTTATAACTGGGGGGCCTCACCTTGTTCAATTTGGGGAAACCCCCCCAGATTTTTTTTCAGAAAAAGTATGTGTTTGGTCGTAAATTTGGTATATTATTGGATATGCTTGGTATATAAAACCATATTTGACATCATGATGATGATGATGATGATGCTGCTGCTGCTGGTGGTGGTGGTGATGCTACAGCTCATGAGGTCGACGGTGTCGAGCCTTTTTGGACAATGTCCAGAAAAATGAAGGATCGAACCCTTTGTCATGGCGATTTCAGGGTTTCCAGGTCAGTTTTCAGGAATGGAACCATGCAGAAACAGTCAAAGAAGGCAGATGACCCTCACAACAAGTCGAATGTGCCAATGATAATTGGATATTCATAGCTAGATTTATCACAGGGCTGTAAAGTCGCGACTGTGTACCTGCCAAAAAACATAGGTGTCCGGTGTCCCGATAATTTCACAGGGACGCACATCGTAGAAGCCTTTGGCAAGTTCACCTGGAAATATCATTCCTTTCCCATGGGAGAACCATCTGCAAATGATGCAGGTGACATTTCCTATCTGGAAATCCAGATAAGTTGGGAGATGTCATGATCGCAATTCCCAACTGGGCCATCATCCAAATCCCCCTATCCCATCTTTATAACTAGTTGAACTTCATAACAATCCCCAATACAGCTTAGTAGTGGTTAGTTGGAAAATAACTTGCTTCATAAGTTTCCCTAGTGCATACATATATATATATGTATATTATATATATATATATTATATTATATATATATTATATATGTATATATTATATTATACATATATGTTTGTCTGTAAATGTCTACAATCCCCAAATGACCAGGTAGTTTTTCTTCGTATAACTCTTGGAATTTTCCCCAACAAGGCTCGACCCGTCGCCGTGCGGTCACCTGCGTCCTGCGGCCGGCTTGAATCACCTGCCACGGTAGTGAGATCGGTCACTGGAAGATCCGTCACGGGATGAATTGGATACCAAAACAACCCCAAAACGGCCAAGAAAATGATGGTTTTAATGCTTTTAAGATGGAAAATGATGATTTTTATCATCAGTATAGTTCCACTATCAAACTACATAAAAATCATCAAAAAAATGGAAAATTAACTTTTATGATGGAAAATGATGATATTTACTTATCATCAGGTAATGCCATGCTTCAAAGCCATGTAATTTCGATTTTGGCTGGTGAATCCCTTAAAATTCCCATGTTTCATGGTTAAAACCGCCGGAAGTGACCCAGACTCTTGGCAGTGCACTTTATGTAAGTTGAAGCTATAAACTATGGGATATTCAGTGGTAATTTAGTAATAACTCACCATTTTCCTTGCTTTTCGAGGTGCACAACTCCCGGACACAACCCTTCGGTTTTCCAACACATCGGCCTCGGCAAAGGCATCGAGTGCCTGTGGATGTTCTGCCGGCATTCGGATGGAGGTCACCAAGTCCGCATCGACCTGGCCATGGGCTTTTTTCGGGTTGGTGGTATACTGGCCATAGTAATGGTTAGTAATGGTTTATGCTGGCTAATAATAGTCTGGTTGGTGAGCCCTACCCCTCTGGAAAATATGAGTGAAAGTCATGATGACATTCGCAATATGATGGGAAAAGTAATCCATTCATGTTCCAAAGCACCAACCAGATCCTATGGTTTTCCTAGGATTTTCCTAGGGTTTTCCAAACCACCAAACCAGCCAAGCAGTTTTGAACTCCACCGTGGAGGTCTAAATCGGATCCCCAAATCACCATGGTTGTTTCAATGATACAATGGTCTAAGTCTAAGGACTTGGATGATGGTCTAACGGTACCCCCATGACTTAGGAAACCTCCATGTGGTAAGATTGGGGTCATACTCATTTGCCAATCTTAGATGTCCTGCACTTTTTGGGGGTGGGTTAGTGAAAAATCCCAATGTTGGCAAAAAGTAACATAATTCTAAAACTACCCGTGCAAGGTCTGGATTTCAAAGTGGATCATAGAGTTTGCCAACTGATGGAACCAGTACATGGATGGAAGCAGTTTGGAACTCTGCCATCATATCCCATCGTCACCAATGCAAATTGGGCTGAAATCCTGGAAAAACATCTGGCAATGAGTCAATACCCTGGTTTTCAGGTTTGTACACCAAAATGGTTGGTACTGAAAATGTTCCTCAAGTTATATATAAATAATATATTATATATATATATATATCGTAGGACTTCATCAATGTTCTCACCCAGTTGGAACTCTGAAAAACTGGCGCCACGGCCGCCCCCGCCTGCTGTTCGTTGACGTAGACCCACTGCAGGATGGGTTCGATCCGAAGCTTCGTGGTGTAAAAGGCCCAGGAGGCCAGCGCACGGCGCACCTGCGCCACGGCGAGCGGACGCCGTTGGCCATGATTCAAGGCATTCAACGTGAGTGGATGGGATTTACCCGATTTACCCCAGGAAGAATGTGAGTTTTAACGGGATTTTAAGGGGATATGTGATCATAGATGATATCTGGGGGTCTGAAGATAGGATAGACCACCAAAACTGCTCATTTTAAGAGGGAAAATGATTATCAACCATCAGATTTAGTCTTACCTTTTTTCGGAACAAAACATACATCGTTAGAATATGGATAATCATAATTAATAGTAATTGATAATAATTAATAAAAATAAATAATAATTATTAACAATAATTATTAATAATAACTAATAACAATAATAATAAACATATTAATAATTGATAATAGTAATTAATAATAATAACAGTTATCATATTCTTCTTCTTCTTCCTCTTCTTCTTCTTCATCATCTTCATCATCATCATCATCATCACGACCATCACAATCAACATCACCATCACCATAGTCATGTTCACTTTCATCTTCATCTTCATCATCGTTATCTTCATCTTCATCATCCACAATATGACCTTGATACCATCAACAATGTAGTGCCATCATATGGGTGTGTCTGAAATGGGTATAGCGTAATACCCCACACAACAAAAAAGAACGAAAGATGCAGTACAAAGGGGAAGATGATGATATTGACCATGGAATTTTGGGAGGTTCACATGAATTTTCAGACAATCACATTATACAATATTATACATACTGTCCATTTTTTCACTTTGAGTTACAACTAGGATTTTCACTAGGGTTATCAAGAAGTTACTGATTCGTTGCAAAAAATGGATTTGAGGATCCCTAGTTATTTGGCTAAAATCCTCCAAAAGTATCTCCCCAATTATCACTGGGGCTACCA